CAACAGCTGTCGTCCATGGCAGTCCAAAGGTTTGACTTCTTCAACTATTTTTCTATTCTTTAACATCCCACTATTTTTGCTTCTTTATATTATCTTGGTTAATTATTATTATTTTTATTATTATTATTATTTCACTTTTTGGCTCACGGACTAAAAAAGTTCATTCTGTATATTTTAATAAGCGAGTTTGGAGATTTGAAGATTTGATTATGAGTTATTAATAGAGAAAAATGAATAAATTTTTAATTTAAGGACGATTGAAGTAGAGGTGCACTTCAATCAGCATGCACGACTAGAGTCTTTGTAGTCTTAATGCTTTTTGCCGGATGATTTTATTATCACAAATGACTCCAAAACTGACTTGATTACAAACATGTGTAGAATCCACGTCAAATCATTATTCAACGAGTTTGCTAGGGAATTCTAATTGATCTACTTAATTCAGTCGTTACGTTCCGTACTATACTACATCGTCCGCCAACCGAATAAAGGATTCCTCACACTGTGTGCTAACTTGATTTTTGTTTTGACTTTTTGGTGTAGTTGTTACTGTGGTTGAAATAGACATTTCGAACCAACTCAAACGAGGAAGGAAAACCTTAATATCAAAAGAGAAACGAGCTGATCAAGATAGACAACTAAAATTGAGTATATCTCAATTAAGATATATATCCTCAATCAAATGATATGGTTAGAGGTCCACTTTGTTACTCAACTAAAAAAATAAAAACTCTAAATTTTATTAACTGAGTTGGGTGAATCACACTCGATTTCAAATTTTCAATTTCATCAAAATAAATTATAATCCGTAAAGTTAAAAGGTCTAGATATATACAAAAAAAAATGTTTTAAAAAACTCATGAAGTCAATTATTTAAAATTTTTTAGATTTATAGTTCATTAGTATACTTTTTGTGATTATTAATCAATTATTCTATGTAATTATTTAATCATAATACAATATAATAACGACTACTAAAATATAATCCCAATACAAAAGAAAAAAACCTTTTTGGTTTCTCTTTGGTTTGAAGTTCACATGGAATACCAAGACTTTGATAAAAATAARTAAATAAATAAAATAAAGAGGAAGCAATATATAATATATAATCCCAATAGAAAAGAAAACTCCTTTTTGGTTTCTCTTTGGTTTTGAGGTTCACATGGAATTTCATAAAAGTAGCAACCTTTTTTTTTCTCTTTACTTTAAATAAAGTTGAATTATTTCTTTTAGTATTGTCATGTCAAATTTTGTTTTTATACTTCTAATAAAAATTTAATGTAGCAAATTATTTAAAATGTGACATATGAGGCTTATAGTATGTCATTTTGTAACAATAATATAGGGATATAGTAAATTTATGTGGTTGAAAATATGAATTAGATTTTTAAAATGGTACTTTCAAGTTAAAATGGTACTCGAATATTTGGAATAGAGAACCAAATTGAGATTAAAGTAAAAGAATAGAGACCGAAATTGTAAATTTCAAATTTTAGGGAAAAAATTAAATCAAATTTAGCATTAAAATTTTAATTTTCTCAAATTATGACTTAAACATGAAATATATARCTTTGTTGGAAGTGATTTATCAAGAGATACGTGTCTGCATTTTATACCTGTCAGACGACTCACTGCTATCTTAATAGTATAGTGAGAAGACCAATTCCTTAAAAGTAAATTAAATCACTCAGACTTTGTAAAAGTCCGAGCTGATGTCTAAATTTATTCGTTGTTCAAGGTTTCCTAGAGGTTAGGCCGACCAAGGAAGCTTCTATTAGCTCACCCTCATAAGTGACATGTTGATGCTTATTACATTGTTTGTCGCAGATCAATAGYTGTTTTTTCGACAAGGCATTGTGATTTACAGAATTCAACAGTTGTTGGAAGATCAGCATCTATAGATAGAGAGTTCTACCTCATTTTCCATGTACATGAAACTATATCACACTGAGTATAGATTGGACCGAGACTAACTTGAGTGTCGAAGCTGTTTGCTCTCTTTTTGAAGGTTCCTTCGTTYGTCAGTCACCCGAGTACGAACATTGTAGAAGTTGGTGACTTGTTAGATGATTTTTAACTCGATTTCTCATCTTCGTAAGTTTAGATTAGTGTTACAACTTAAAACAACCTAAACAATGAGTGAATATTTAAATATACGAACTTTAAAAGAATATACTATAATTTTACCTAGTTACGCTTCAAAATCTAAAGATATGTTAGCTGTGAAAATAAAATTTTCTTGACATCCTATGGTGCTCTGATCAAATAATGACATGAAAAAAATAAGATTAGATAATAAGTTTTGGTAAGCAAATTTTCATGGTTATTGTGTCTAATAGCCTCCAAATTTTTCATGTCGAGTATAATAAATATCTTTTAAYTTTGTATCTAATAAATCCTAACTTATGAGATATCTTTTAAAGTTTATCGATCTATTGGACACAAATTGAAAATTTAAGCTAGATCATTGATTTTGTTTTTTTATTTTCTACTTTTTGAGATTAAGTTTGTAAAAACTAGTTTGATCTATGTATTTATTTGTTTGTTATCAACTTTTTAAAATATTTTTAAATTAAAAATAATTTTTTTGAAAAAAAAAAGTATTTTTCAAAGTTTTATCTTTGCTTTTGAAAGTTGTGAGCCACATAATTTTAAAAAGTAAGATCAAACGGGACAATTTTATTAGATAGGTTAAAGAAAAATTAAATAACTATAAAACAAGAAATTTGATAAATATATTATTTCATTTTATAAATTCATTTTATTTTTTCAAAATTAAAACATCTAAAATATATTAGATTGTAAATAAGTATAATAATAATTCTATAAAACTTATAACCACAATATTAATATATTAATTAGTATTATTTCTAAACACACAACCACAAAAAATTCAATTTTCAAATATGCTAAAGAAACACGAACCTATACTAAATACTACTTTTTTTTTTCAAATCACTTATTTTTAAAATTATGTTTTTATATCGATTATGAACTACAAGATTAACTCAACGGTAATTGATATATATCTCCAATCAATAGGGTGTAAGTTTGATGTCCATGACAAAAAAAAAATAAGATTAGAAATAAAAATAAAAAGGAAAGAAATTTAAAATGGGTATGGCCCACCAAGAGCATTGGTATTTGTAACATTGTTTGGCATTTTTTAAGCCTATAAACTGCCTTCTTTGGGTGTCTCCATGTGACTTGAAAAAGGCCAAAACCCTTCTCTCTCTCTCTCTCTCTCTCACTTCAAAAACTCCATTAAGAGTGAGTGAGGAAACAAAAAATGAAGAACAATTTCCATGCCTTCTTCTTCTTCTTCTTCATTTTCCTTCTCCTCTCCCAATTAGCCTCTGCCCGTTTCCCACCATACAAACAAGGTAAAACCCACTTCCAAAAACTCTTCCTTTTTCACTCTAATTTCCAATTTTATTTTCCTTCTGATTTTCCCGGAAAATTTGCAGGTCAGGCAGAGACCCAGAAGAAGCTCAGCCATGGAATCGCCCAAGAGAATTCATGGCCAGAAGACTTCTCCTATGTAATTAAACGAGATTTTTTTTTTKSCYTYYTTTTTTTTTTTGTTATTTGGATTTTAATGGGGCTGTTCTGCTTTTCTTCTGTAGATGATGGGAGGAAGAGAGAAGGGAGAAGATGAAGAAGATGAAGAATGGGGGAAGAGAAGAATGATGCAACAAGCACACTTGGATTATGTTTACACACAGATTGAAAACCCTTGAATTTAATTCTCAAGATATGTTTATGTACATATCCAAAATACTAAAACAAATTGTTGCTATTTTCATCCTTTTATTATATGATATAATAATATCTTATATATAGTATTTACAAGGGTTCATATATTAATGTTTCTTTTTCATTAGAGAATATATATATATATGTATATTATGATGATGTTGATGGTGTGCATTTATTTATTCATTAGAAAAGACCACTAGTTTATCAATTCAAGTGGGTTTCTTGATTTCAAGATAAACATTACAAAAAAGTGAATAAATTTGACCCAAATCAACTGATGTTTTGCAAAAAGGGGGGGAGAGAGTTTTTATTGGGTGATGTGTTTGGAGGAAATTAAAGAGAATAGTAAGATTGAGAAATTAAGAACAAACAAACAATATGAAAAAGTAGGATTGGGACATTAGGGAAGAAGAAATTTAGCAAGTATAAGACTAGTCAATTCATTTTGAACACGGAATCTTAAGAGAGAGACCAAAAACTTCCTCTAATTTTCCATGTGAATGCCAATTTCCATGAGAGAGTGCAATCATGGATTTAAACCTCAAATCATAAGAGCATGGTTTAATTTTCCCATTCTTAAACTTTGTTTTTTCTTGTTGAGTATAATAATTGCAAGGATAGAACATTGAACCCTCCTTTCTCGAGGGAAGGAGTTAAGTACTTGATTGCTGAACCAAGTTCATATTAACCGATGCAAAACCAAGCTCATATGTTGCAATAAGTTTAGTTTCGTAGCGTTATTTTATAAATTTGTGAACTTGTTGAAAATATTAAATAAGTCAAAAATCTGTTACATGCAAAATTCAAAAAGTATCTATTAAAAAAATTGAAAATTTAGAAATTTATTAGAGACAAATAACAAAACAAATGAATAGGTATTAAATTATAAATTTATTCCAGTTACATTAGACTTTAACTTGTATACTTAATCTTCATTGTCCGTCAACACATCATCTTTTGTAACCTTACAGAGAATCTTTTTCTAAACTTCAATTTTCCTTCTTAGTTCAAAATAATTACACATTTAGAGGTACAAACAGAGCAAATTTATAATAAATAAATAAATTCCAGTGTGAGGAGGTGGCATTTAGGTAGCAATCATGGCTTGTACCCGCTATAATTGGTACACAAAATTATGTCCAAGTCCCAAGCAAAGGCTATGGATTTATGGAATTCTTGCAAATCACTAGCCTTTTTTCAACGCTCTAGTGGCCATCCAAACAAAAGAAGAAAACAGTTCATCATGTGAAGACAATGATTGTAGCAAAATCTACCATAAGAACCACAATTATCGGCCATGCCATGCCATTGCCAAGCTTGTCCAATCAGTCAAACAAGGTGGGGGCAAATGATAGAAGCAAAAAGAAGCAAAATCCAACATCATCATAATCATATCCAGACCAGACCCGCAACACAAGTGAAACAACTCTTCTCAAAGGCTGAGAGAATCTTAAATGACCCTCCATTACTGTCTTAACATGATATGCAGGGATAAGAGAAGGCAAAATTACAAGGGGAGAAAAAGAAGAGATGGTAAACAAAAACCACTTCGCTACTACGATTTCGATAATACAAAGGCATGTCTCGATGGAGATTCCAAGCGAGCGGCCGGGACCTGAAGTGCACTGCCTCATATATATAGCAACAGATATTGATGTTAAGTGAAAATCCGCTGAGAAACAAGATGGTAAAGATCTGAATAATGATTGATCATTGCATTGATGTATTCTTCTCAACTATTTATCTTTATAGAAAAAAGCAGAAAGAAAACAAAAAGGAATTTGGAAGCTAGAAAATACCAGTATAGAGCTACCACTCCCCTATTATCTCTTTTGGCACTCAACAGAACTACCACGACCGAAGCACTCGTGTTCAAACTCCCTTTTCGCATGCCGCCAATTGCACGAGCAGGTTGTCCACCAGTGTAGTTCCTAGAGGAACTATTGCGTAGGAAGCATCATACATCCATTTCCTGTAGAAAGTTGGACATAATGCAAAGAAGCTTAAATTATTAATACGCGAATACTAAATCAAGAAAAAACAACCCGAAGCATCAATATAAAGCAGGGATACAGATTTGAACATATTATCAGTAGGCACTATATCATGTAATTTAACGTTGTGTCTAGGAATAGCACAAAAAATCATTAGGGAGAGTGATGAATGATAGTGAAACCAACATCCAGTTTTGAACATGTATCAAGGACCAAGAACATTACCATCTTAATATCAGTTGCCAGACCCAGGTCATATACTGAACTTTCAGTTAAACAATGTGTGTGCACAATGGGTCCTCTAGCACCTTGCTCATTTGTGCTTCCTAATTCACTACCCGCTGATGGGCTGGTGATGTACGTTGCTCCTTTGAACATCCAGTTACCTAGCTTTTGACTAAAAAAGTCTTCAAAAAGTTCACCGCATAAAACACAAGCAAATTGATCCTCATCTGCAGGAACCATTGGCTCATTATCTTCTTCCATCTCGTCGGACATGTCCACAGAGGTATCAGCATCAAGTCTAAGTCTAGCAGTTCTASAAACCCAATCATCCGAACTTGGATACCACCTTCTTGGTGCCCTATTTGAAGTGTTTGCCTCAGTTCTTAACGTGTGCCACTGCAAGTGCGTGTTCAACTGTTCTTCAAGTTTCAGTCTAAGACCACAGACCTTACACTGGTATGGAATATCATCAAAGAGTCCACTGACCACAGATGGATGAAATTTGCGGATAACATGTGAACTAAAATCGAAGCCTATGAGGTTGCTTATCTCAGTTGTAGCTGATGGAGGCAGAGTAGTGGAGCTCTTAGTAGCAGGTTCTGAAGGTGGTTCAAGTCTCTTAGATGATATACTGGAAGAAGAAATAGGGATGGAAGGAACTGGTATAGAACTAGTCACAGCATCACCTTCTGACTTCAAATTTTTAGGTTGTGAAGACATCTGGGATGTCACGTTATTTGTTAATTCTCCTTTTGAAGCAGATATGAGGCCCTTTGCAACCAATGAGCTCAAAAGGTTAGAAATTGGACTAGAAGCATCGTTTGCCACATTTGAAGTTTCAGTGGATGAACTATGCATAGGAGATGATGGTGGTACCGGATCAGATGGACTAGGTGTCTCTTCTACCTTAGTCCGAGATAGCTTAACCAAAGCTGATGGGCTTTCACGAGATGGAGGACCTAATGAAGATTCTCCCACAACCTTCAGCTCTGAGAGTGTAGACTGAGTATGGGCAGGAGAAGACCGGCTTGGTAGAGGAGGTTTAATGCTTGAGTGGGGTTGCAAATTCCCCACATCTTGGAAGCTGATATTCTGCTGCATGCCACTTGTTAATGAATGATTGGAGAAAATTCCACTTTTCATTACAGCAGCCAACAAACTACTGGTGCTTGGCTCCCCCAAAATTTCTGCAGGTAAACGATCTGGAATAGAATTCCCAGCTGATAAGGATGGTCCAAAATCAGTGACCAGAGTTGATACTGTACGCTGACTAGAAAGTTCCGGCTGTGTGACATCAGGTTTAAGTGACTCAGATAAAGAGAATTGGTGCCTGGGTTGAGAAGCAGGCATAGATGAAGCTGGAGCAGGTAGATCCTGAGGCTGTGGTTTTTGAAGGCTATCCGGCCGAACATTGGGATGCAGGTTAAGGGCAGCATCCTGAATATGCTTTTTACGTGGGTCAAGATTGGAAAATGAAGTTTTATGGTCGTGCATTTGATGAGGAACACGGTGATCCACTAAAGATGGTGAAGGGGGACGTTGGTGCAAGGGTGGCTGTCCAGGTGGGAATGCAACACCTCTTGATGGAAATCTTTGATGGCCTATAGTCCCAGTGGAACCTGAACCTCCTTTATTCAGAAACCCATGCCCTGAGGCTCCAATATTAGATGATGTGATCTGTGTTCGACCTCCCATTTGATCCACAGAAGAGCTAGCACCTGATAGTGTGGTAAGAGTGGCACCATAACCTCCTGAGTGGGCTAAATTCTTTCTAGGAACCCCGCCTCTCAGCCCGTCCATAGATATTGACTCCTGCACTTGCCACRTTGATGACCTTTGCTGTCCAGAATCCCCTAGTTCTCTCTGCTCAGATGATTGTGAATCACTGGAAGCTTCTCTATCAACACTTGCTCCAGCATCCCGTACGCTTAATGGCTTATTTTCAATACCCTGCACATAGAAACCAACTCCACAATCAATCATCCATGACATGGTCAATGGTCCATAATTGCGCACCCCTGAAAGAGCACTACAAAAATTGAAGTAGTACGTAGCAAACACTTTTTGCTTTCTTCCACTGCAACTAGTGAAGTAATTGGTATTAAAATATATCATTCACCAGGACAAAGTGGTTTCCATCAATTATATTCAAGCTTACCGAATTATCTGAATCCTCGGGACCCCATTGATCTTTCCCCATGCTACTAGCGATGGTAGGTCCACCATGACCTGTCAACATAGAGTTCATTTCACCCCACATAAATTCCTCTTCCTCAGAGTTCTTCCAGTTAGTAGACAATCCTCTGCTGCTGCTACTGCTTGAAAAATTTTGCATGGGCAGTAGCCGTGCACCAGTGTTTGCAGATTTGGGTGCAGGGTAATTTTCATATCCATGCTTGACGTTGAACCCATTTCTTTGGCCAGATAACTTCTCAGCCACATTGGATCCAGCTGCAGACCAAGGTTTGTCTCGCCCTTCGTCAATGACCCTTCTTCCGATACCTGGGGTCCTTGAAAGATCAGAACCATATTCGTAATCTGCGTATGCAGCCGTGATATTCTTCTCTTGTGCCATATCATTTGGTGCATCTCTAAGTGGACGCTGAATGTCCTGAAAAATTTGTCATAATGTTTATCATAAGGCAACCAAAAACTAATAACCTATATGAAATTTATATATACACACACACACACTTACAAGCACTTTTATTGGAGCATCTGCCCACGGGCGTCCAGTACTAATTTTGGCTTGGGCAACATCCTGAGTTACATTTGTTGTTACCCCAGTGGCATCATCAGCCACTCCCTTCACCTTCATCACATAACAAAATTAATCAAAGTAGAATAAGAAAAAAAGGAAGAAAATACAAATCCACTTCACAAACTAAGAATATTCATTCGGGGAAAAAAGTATAGGTGAGCACCCCTCTAAATCTTTAAGAAATCTACTACATACAAGCAAAGATGAATGGAGAATCATTTTATGTCAACGGAAATAATGAAACATCATAATTTAGATGGAAACAGGAAAACATCACCAAGTATCAGTTTGTCCACTATAATAAAGGCAACAGATATCAGTTTATAAGGCCATGTAATAATTTTCATAAGACCAAGAACGACTTCAATCTATGAGTAGAAAAAATGGGCCAAGGGCTGCACTTGTAACGATCAAAACTGAGCATGGTAGCAGAACATCACTAACCCTGCCTGACTGCTGAAGCCGTTGCCTCTCTATGTACTTGGGATTTACATGGATGCTATGGGGTGGACGTTGTGTCTGCAAATCAGGTTTTGAGGCTATGGTCCCAGAAGAAGAACTACTGCTGGGCATGAAGCCAAGTTCTTTCTCAATAATCTGCAGAGCTTGAGGAGGAAACACTCCTTTCCAGGTTCCAAAAAGATGTCTCATACTTGGATGTACAGAAGGGTCAACCTGCCTATAAGCTTTGATGAATACCTAAAAAGGATAGGAAAAAACATTATAAATTTGGGATAATTGATAAGACAATGAATAAAATGATGCTGTCCAAGCACAATAAAGAATGTTGTACTTGATTGGGGCAGGTTACTGGTCAAATAATGCAGGAAAATGACATACACATTCATGACTTCATATCAGTTTAAGTCCACCACCCCCACATTATGTACTAACAAAACTACATATCAGTTTAAGAAAATGAACAAAAATACCGAAAGGGAGCATCAAGGAAGCATTATGAAGCATTACTTTGGAAGATGGGATACAAATTAGTTTTGTTCAACAAGAGTGTTTTTCAGTACGGAGAGGTAAACAAAGAAAATCTAACCTCGGGCAGTCTTGCTGCAAAGTATTTTATATAGTCTCTTCCAATATTCTTTACGATACTGTCCAATAGATAAAGTGACGGTAGCTTCTGCTCACTGGGAACCTGGAAAACATTTTAGAAATCAATATAGCAACAAGATTGCCAGTTGAATCAATTGTAGGGCCAAACAGAAATGCCACATGAAAAAGAATTGAACTCTATCACATACCCACACAGAAACAAGTTACTGATGGCTTAAAACAGCTGAGAAAAATGACCTTATGTAATTACTAACAACACTCATACCCGATTTTATAACAAAAGTCATATAATACTAAAATAAGAATACATAATCAGATACATGTATAGAAGGGAACTAAATTGTCTATACACATAAATAGAGATAGATATCACAATAAAATATTGGTTGAGATCTTCGAATGAGAAAGAAAGGTTGTATCATAAGAGTCGAGGCAACAAATAAGAAAGCTAATTCCTCTGTTAAACATAAATGGAGACAATTACTACATTACTGTTGTMATTAATGGCTAATCATGCTTCAAAGATATCCTGACTATTGCCGACCTCTTTCAAATTTACCATGTGAAATAAACCTTTTTACTCCACAAAGTTATTTCTAAAATCCCAATTTTGTTGAGATATAAAAATAATCTCCTACAACTATACAAACATGTTAACTGCTCAAGATTTCTCTAGCAGCAAACAAGTTATGTGCACCGTGCATTCAAAGACCTCTACAAGCACCACGCATATCAAGGGAATTAAACCTCCAGCAGTCCTCATACCAAAGAAGTTCTAGAACAATAGTTCTAAAGATCAATGCTCAACCACTCCCTCCAGAAGCATTCATAAGTATGAGGAAATTAGGCGCAAAGTAACCTTAGAAAATCAATTCTGCTTGTTAAAAAACTTAGGGCCTGACTATATCTATTTTCACTTCTGGAACCATAAGCTATGGGGTGTACAGGACAGAAAAACTCACTAATCCTTCTAAGTTGCATTTCACATTTCACGCTTCCCTAGGATCAGGAGAATAAAAGAAACATCACAAGGAACCCATGAAAAGAGCATTATTAGCATGAATGCAAGGCCTAAGCCGTCAAACTTTACTAGAATACAAGTCCAACTTGCAACAACTCCAAGCGTCTGGAGAAGTCCTGTGCAACTATTATTCGAGTTGAGCAGAGAGCTTCATTCAACATACACAGATTCACCAAAACCACGAGACTTTATACAGTCCAAACTCAAACCTGCTAAACTTTTTTTTCCAGATCAATGATCTCTCATATAGATCGTTGGCCTCCTGTAAATGCAATCACCTGTTAACTCAGATTGATGCTTATATTTCAATTGGATAGTCTTATCCACAAAAATATATATATATTTCAATTGGATAGTTTTACTGGGTACAAATTTCTGGATTGTCAATGAATGATTTATTTATAAACAATATAAACAGACAGCGAACCAACAAATATAACCATCCATTTCAGTACACAAGGTAGTCAATCAATTACAGAAGACAAGGTGCAGAGTTATTTAAACTTATTTTAGAAATTAAATTTTCAATTAGCTCAACAAACAAGGATTACTAAGTTATTATCGCAAAGTATGATTTGATGGCTGCAGCGTGGATCATAGCCACAACAAACCCATCACTGTCACCAACCTCCCATTGAAAACAAATCTGTTACTAATAAAAATTATGTGGCATCAAGTACTAAGATGATAGCGCATTAATAAACATATTATGGGAGGTATTTATATATTCCACGAACAAGACGTTGCACTTTCCACAAAAGACAACTAAAAATTGCTGTAAAACGCAAAGATTTCATTAATCCCAATACACTTACAATTTTACTTCTGCACTTCAACGACAAGGCATTTACTGTATTTCCTCTTTTCCTTCTACACTAATTCCCAATACAATCATATTCACACAAAAAGAAAAATATCAATCAACGGAATGCAAAACGCTGCTACACAGTTTAAACTGGGTTCACCTCGATAATGTTGGCGCAAACAGTAGCAGCGACCGCTTTTGCAGCCTGGAGATTTTCACCCGCGATTATGGTCAAATTAGTGATGATGGGTTTCGAGTTAAAAGTCAGCTCCGCAAGGGCAGTCCTGTACTGGCTCACAAGCTCCTGGTGCTGCGGCGGCTGAGGCTGATACCCCCCTCGACCAGAATCACTGCTTCCCGAATCTCTATCACTCGCTCGAAATCTGG